AGAATATTTTTTTATTGATAACCAGTTTCTCTTTCCTTTTATATTTTTTCCCTTTTTAAGCGACTAACACATCTTGCACCACTTTACCTACAGTTTCTATTCTTTGAATGCTCACTGTCCTTCAGCTCTTTATTATGAGTATTTATGATAATTGTGTTTTCTTACTCACTATGTTTTACAACAACATGTTAACAGTAATACAAGGCCTGGATTACCCTGTAATGCTCAGGCTTGTCAACGGCAGGCATTGGTTTCGCTCACTAAATGTCTCAAGAATTTGGCACAGCTATCACTGTCTAGGGAAAGTCTAGCAGGTGACATTTAATAGGGAAAACTGAACACAACCAAGAGTTAGACAGAGGGACAAGAGGTAATATTGGAATTACAAAACAGAGTATAAGACTATAATTTTACCCTACCTCATTTATAAATAAATACGGGTGCAAATTAAGTTTCAGAGGCAATAAAAAAATGAAAAATTGAGGTATTGACCCTTTCTTCTAGCCACTGTTGTCCACTCTCTGATAGAGCACTGAACAAAAATTAACTGAAATAGTTATGCAAATAGAGAACTCCTGCAGTCAAAAAAGGTAGTCTGAGCAGAGAGGAAAACCTTGCTCCAGAACATACCTGGGGTTCTAGCCTCCTGAGTGCTCACAAAATCCTACATGGCCAGAGGACACTCGCGATTGTTTGGGGTTTTTTAACTGATTCTTCTGCTAATGCATCTTGTATAAAACACATGCCATTGGGCTTCAGGTAGAGATGATGTCATGCAATGGGCAGTAAAGTCAGTTCAAGGATACTTTTCATTCATGTGGTGCTCAGAAACAGTTTCACCATGACTGAACATCTGGCCAAAAGACCAAATTAAACTTTGCTAAAGAGACATGCAAATATAGGTTTGCAATGAAAGGAAAAGAAAAACGTGGCTTATCAGTCCTTTATGGGAGAAAGGGAGTGCTTTAATAGGACTTAATCAATATTTACTGCCCCCAGTAGTACTTAACAGCTGTGTAATATAAGCAGTGTAAATAGATCAAATGAGAGCAAGGCTATTTAGTTGGACAAAACTACAGGATCAGGCTCCTAAGTTTAGGCAGCCAAACACATCTCCAAAAAATAACTCCACTTACAGTAGTTAAATTGCAGTTATTCCTGAAGAGAAGACAGTTCATAAATAAAAATGCAGGTTTGTTGGAGCAGCTGCTAAGAAATGCCTACAAAGATATCTGATGGTCAAGTCTTTGAAAAAATGAAATTTTTACACAGGGAGAAGAGGAACTGTTTCAATGAATACCCTCCCACACTTCTCAACATCTTCTCTTCAAATGTGTCAAAGTAATGCCTGGAATAGTTCTTCAGTGGAAAGGTTGGACTCTGAATCCTGTGAGGAATAAACTCATTAATCTGACACAGTTTGCTGGGAGTTTCTTTTTGCCTTTTTAATCTTACTATATATTTTGGACAATACTAAATGATTTCAGATACACTATGTCCATATGTTTTAATATAAATAGAATCTCACATAGATTGAACTTATTAACTGTATAAATAGTATATATGGGAAGAAACCAACTGTAATGGGAATTACATTTCTAGAGAGAAATCTTTCTTCAAAAACATAAATGGAAAAAAAAAAATCTATTTTGAGTTTATGAAGAAATCATAACCTGATGAAAGAAAACATATCTTCATCAAAAAATCAAGGTTGTAGACAGGCTTCAGAACTAGTATTTAAAGGGGGAGATTTTAGAAAGAAGCAGGTTGTGCATTAAAATTTCTTCAAATTGACTCTGTAAGACTACATCTGAAATAATCTAAACAGTTCAATAGCAGTAATCCCACTGAACACCATTCAAATGCCATGCAGGGATACATACTAGGTCTATCTAGGACTAACAAGATTTAATTATAAATCCTGAAGTGTTTCAGTATTGTCTCTCCAGATGAGGCGATACTGACAGTGCTGATGACCCAAACTAGAGGATACTGATTGCCAATGGAAGACAGCAAGTTCTAAACTGTCGCTTTTCCACTTACAAAAAGTAAGAGAGATATACACAAAAAATCATATATGAAGAACAAGAAAGAGATAAATGTAGTCCTCCAAAGTCAAATAAAATGGTCCAGACAGGAACCTTTATAAAGCTTTTTCTCCAGTTGAAGCAGAAACCCAGCTGGGTATATTATACGTGCAAGAAATAAGGACATGAGCAAAATTTTGACAAGTGGGTTGATGGAATAAGATTGGATTTCCACAAAGCATTCAGAACAGATGAGTTTTTGGATGAGCTTGCAGAACAGCCTGATCTTTAAAAGCCTTGTCAGAATGCCAAACTGGGATGATCATCCACTGAAAAACAACTTTCCAGAATATGGTACTAAAGACATTGATAACAAAATCGTTCCAAAAAGATTTTCATTAAGTTAGCCAGAACAAAGTTAATAATCCATGACGTAAATGTTTCTTTCTTTACTAGCTTGTTAAAAACGCTAAATTCTCCTCTATAAAAATCTTACAGCTAGAGGCTGACAGAGATTAGCTTATTCTTCTTCAAAGTCATTAAATAAATAATTAACCAACAATAGCTGGTAAGTTACCTTGACAACAAAGATTTATTAATATGAGATTGCCCAAGGGATAATGAGCGAGGGATTTCCAAACTGTGGTGTTAATCAAACTACTTCAAAGCAACGCAAGGACCCAGCGCTGGCAGGCGGTCACTGCCTCTGGTGAATTCATGCAGCCTGACTTGGAGCTGGGAGCTACTGCAGCCTCTGGCAACAGGGGTAATTTAGTGATGTACTTCTGTACAGCAAAAGGTCAAAACTATTTTTTAAGCAAGAACAAGGAAACAGAAGATTGGAAGTACCTGAATTGCAGGACCATTAATAACATGTCAGTCATATTTGGAAATTAATATGAGCTGTATGCCCACCAGGTGTTACATAAAGTGTTTTGGAAAAGCCTGTGAAAAAAATGCAGCTATGGAACACTTTAGATATAACTGCACATGTTAAAAGCACCCTATATTCAATCTGTAGAAACTTAAAGATAGCACAAGATATATTGGGGGCAGCTAATTTGAGAGATCTCACATGTGCCCTTCACCTTACATGATATTTCATTCCAGTATGGATGGACATGGCAGTTACGGAATCAGCTTCCAAAACACGAACTTTATACCTCCGCACTTCTTTATCTCTCTTTCTTGTTTCTAAGTTCATAGAGAAGGAACTAATGGGCAAAGCATAACATTATTGTTCCGTTTTCTCAAAGACAGTTTCTAAGGTGGTATAATTTTTCTGGAAGATAGAAACAGAGTGTTTTACTTCTCAAAACTCACATTTGGGAATCAGCAGGAAAAGGGTCCTTCCTAAAGGGTCCTTTGTCAGTGAAATTTAGTAAAAGGGCACAAGCCTGTTCATCACAAACCAGTTACTGTTTTAGCAACTAAGAATTTAGTCAGAGTCCTTCAGATGAGTCTCTGAATTAGATTATGCAAAAAACAGCATAGACAGCAATACTCAAAGTCCTGCTGTAATGTAAGATTGTTCCCCAATGAGTGATTTGCTGGTGCAGGATAGATAATTTTTCCAGAAACTGCTTTGATCCTCTGAAATGAGTGGCCTTTGTTCTTATTACAGTGTACCTCAGAGTTACTAACAAAGATCAAAAGTGTCTTTTCTTTCTAATCCAAGATAGGCATAGACTTTCCCCTGTGCAGAGAGGATAGACCAGTGCTCAGAATTACAGTGCATGTGATTGGCATTTCCCAAACTTTGACACTGCTGTGACAGAACCTGAGTCTGAGGTTCTCTTCAAGGAGGAAATGTCCATATCCCTCCCTCAGAGGATTTCAGTCTCTGGAGCTACAACTTTTTAGTAGGGCATAAATATGTAAAACGAACATCCCCATCCATGTTCCTTGGAAAATCTTGACCTACCCGCTTCTCTTTTTGAGAAACTCCCTACCTCTCCTGGTTTCCCACAAGCCTCACACTTTGCTCTTCAGAAGCTCTTCCAAACCAACACGAGTTCCCTCTGGAAGGACCTCTCTCCCCACTCCACCTTCCTGACCAGGCTGCAGCAGCCCAGACTGCCAACAGCCCCCTCCCCACAGCCTAACCAAGCCCTTTCTAGACTCACTCTAACACACGATACTCATGTCTGCCAACTCACAGAATCAACCACTGTGTCCTCACTCAATCCATCTCAGGTTAAGATGGATATCCAACAGCGATACAAATAAGATTCTTAACTGTGTCTAAAGTACACCAGAAACACATGGAGTCCCGTTGAAAGTCCAAGACCTGTGTTTCCAAATTATTGCACTATCCTTGGAAATAGCACCTAAAATTACATTTAAATTACTGCAAGAAAAATTCTGATATCTGGGATAAGTTGCCAAGAAATCTTGAGATGTTGCTTACACCAGAGTCAAATCTGTTACCAAAATTTGGAACTTGAACTAGTAGTGCATATTTCACACGCTGACAATTATCAGCTGCTGGAGACTTCTGAGACAATTAAAATGGGACAGATTGAATACATAAGCTGGATTCGGTCCATTTAACTAAATATTAAATGCTCCACAGTCTAATACCTATCAGAGTTATGTTATCCTCCCAGATTAACTCCTTCACAACAGATGTCTAATAGGCATAAATATAATAAGCAAGCAGTAACACCACAAGACTATGATAGCACAACTTTTTCTTTTTTCAAATACAAAAAGATTCTTAAGAAAACAAAATACGCAAAATTAGCTCTGAATTAGTGCCACCACTTGCTGGTACTTCATGGACATAACATCACACCTAAAGCATTCAGTCCTGGGAAATAAAATAAACAACTAAGTCAAGAAATGTTGACCGAAGGTTACATGCTCAGTTTATCTGTTCAGTTTCGTCCTCCTCTGAGCTTATACAGTCACAGAAAACTATCTCGTGTCAAATTCCTAAGATGGACTTTTCTGCTGGGCACAGCTACTCACCTGCAGCATCTGAAGATAGCCTTCTTGTGGATCGCACAGCAGTGATGATATTCGGTGGTTGTTCCTCATGCATCTCTGATTGTTGTCCCTTGAGAGAGGGAAAATTTGCCGGATAACTGTCATCCTCCCCAGAGCACTATGTACCAACTCTAATATTTCATTATCAGTGATTTCCTGTGAATGGAGACACAGTCTTTTAAAAACATATATTTGTCCAGACATTTTATATATTCCTTTCATTATAGGATAAATGTTTTTAAAAAGACAATAGAAGAAAAATTTATGGACACACATTCTTAGCCTAGGCCAAATGTTCTTATTTTGTGTTTAATAACAATGGTATTGTTTTACACATCATCTGAAACAAAAGAAAATAGCTTAACACAGTACCATCTATCTTGGCAATACTAAAATACAGCAGAGGTAGTTCTAGATAGAAAAGCACCAAGATGGTCTCAATAGGTTTTGAAGTAAAAAACAAGCACCTTCAAACCAAATTTATACAGAAAGAGTTTTGGTTTAACAGAATAGAACTTCACTACATCCTCAGAATGAAACAACAAAAGGAAAACAGAACTGTCTTTAGGAAATACGGCCCTTACACCTGAGAACAACGTTACAAGAAAGTACCTTGCCCATAAGAATAGTAGATCATTTCTGCAGACTAATCCTGATAATGACTAAAGGAAGTCAAGATAATGACTCTGTATTAGGAAATAAAAAATAAGAGAAACTTCATGGAAGTGATTCATACATTTAGGAATGCAAGTTTCTGCACACAGAATAATTTGGGATAAGATATATGGGGATCTCAAGGACAGGTCACTCATCTCTCCAGGCTTTGCACTGTCTAAAACTTCTTTGCAGACCTTCCCATGTCCCAGCCTCCTAATCCATCCTGGGACGGAGCCTGCATTTACTGCCCTTACATTGCAACAGAAGTCAACTCAACTACACGCTTTATGTATTTTGTATTTTAAAAAAGCCACAAAACCAAAACCTCTTTTTTTACCCCAGGATAAATAGTTTGAAAATCACAGGTTTAGCGCATCCTGAAATCATAACAGCAGTACAGCTTTCAATGGTTATTTCCTGCCAGGAGTTCACTGTTCACTGTGAGGAAGGACAGGCAGTGGCACCGCTGATGGCATTCGTTCCCCCAGGTGCCTCCTCCGCAGGGAGCAGCTTTACATCCCAGCTCCTTACCACTGCCACCAGCAGCATCTGCAAGTCACACCAGCCCATCTCCAGCGCACATTGGCTGCACAGGTGGGCCAACCTATTGCCCAGCCTGCGCAGGGCTGCTCTCAGCCCCGTGCAGGGTAGGAGGCTGCAAATAATTCTTGTTGCTGTACTTACTCAGTCAACAGGGCCCACACTTTGTGATGTGTCATCAGCAGAAGTGGACCTGGCCCCGTACTTTTAACATTCAAGAAAAAAAAAATATTTTGTTTTCCTGCCATTTTCTCTCTCAAGCTGTGAGTGAAATGACCATGGGGTTATTATAATTACTTGTTACGGTTGACTAGTACTGTAGCTTTGGCTCAATTTAGTCCTTCTTTGCCGATTTCCCATCATTTTTTAGGAACATGAATTTTTAACTTTGCAGAAGGTGAAATTCATTGCATTAACAACAGACCAACTGGTGTGGCGTGAAAATGGAAAATCAGAAAATAAATATATTTTTATAGAAGCCAAAGATTTTGAGGCTTAATAGAAAATGCTGGGTGGCACCTGTAGCCTTGCAAGGAGACCTGCAAGGTCTACAGATCCCTCCAGCCTGCTGCCTTGGATTTCTATTCTGTGGGGCTGAGGGGTGTTAAAGCCACACAGCATGTCTAAGCTGTGGTCTGAGGGAGAGACAATTTTACAGGATAACTTTAACTCATAACCCTGTAGGCTGCATACCTTGGCAGGCAAACTCAGACTAAGTGGCTGGAAACAGAAAAAAAAAAAAAAGATCACAAATCATCCAAACCTCCAGTTCACTTTGCACCACACACATTTTGTGCCTCCCCAAGTGATGCACAGCCTTTCAAAGACAACCTGTGTCAAAATGCTTGACCTGAGACTTGTAAGCCTGTACCTAGCAGACCAGAACTGCTTCCTCCGTGGGATTTCCAGAAGTAAGGCAGTGGAGGAGATCAATTATGTTAGACACATTAACCCAGGTTCTTCCCATTTAGCTGTAGGCACCAAATGAGTCCTGAACGTAAAAGCCTAGTTACAATATAGCCAAAGAAGAAAAATGGGAGCCTCTGGAGGGAAATTCAGAACCTGAACTGGGCTAAATTTGACTCTGAAAGTGCCACCTTTTTCTGTGCGGACAATTGACAGGAGTTAAATCCTCCAGTGCCTCAGTTCAGTACGTAACACCAAGGGGAACAGAGCTCCTGCCTGTATTTTTTTCAGCTGATGGACATTCACACCAGTAAACAATCCATTCCTTTTAGAAACTGGTTTCTTTTCAGAAAGGTAAAGGCACAGAAAAAAACAGTTGTTGGAAGAGCTGGGAACAAAAGGTCTACTTCTGCATTTTTGAGCTGGTACTCCAACAGCTAAAGGTAACTACAGGCCTTTCCACGCCAGTTCACAGGGCGGTACAGCCAGAGGCAGCATCGCAGGGCACCTTGGACAGGTCCGTAAGCAGGAAAGCACGGCTGAAGGCCTGAACTGCAGAGGAGAACAGGTCACCCCCGCCCCGCACCGGAGCAGCCCGGCTGTGGCTTCCCTGGCCAGGGGACGGCACCCCTTTCTCTTGCCTGGCAGAGGCAGGCCCTACAGACTCATTTCCAGGAAACCCACTGTCCTGGCTTAGCAGCACGTGAAACCTTAAATGTCACATGCAGAAAGGTCACCTGCATTCTGACTGTGATAAATACAAAGGGAAAAAAAAAAGGAAAAAAAACAAGTCAATAAAGGAAAAATGAGTATATGTGAAGTTGGCTCTTACTTTTACACCCATTAGAATAACAGCATATATCCAAAAAATAGTTCTAAGCCATGCAGTCACAGGGAAAAAACATTTCACACTGATACGACAATTAAAGTCTATTAATCTAATTATTTTTTTAAAAGTAACGCATTTCTTTTCCTGTACATGATATGAACATTTTCTTTACACTGTGTGCTGGTTTTAGCTGGGATAGAGTTAATTTTCTTCACAGTAGCTGGTATGGGGCTGTGTTTTGGATTTGTGCTGGAAACAGTGTTGATAACCCAGGGATGTTTTAGTTTTTGCTGAGCAGTGCTCACACAGAGTCAGGGCCTTTTCTGCTCCTCACCCCACCCCACCAGCGAGGAGGCTGGGGGTGCACAGGGAGTTGGGAGGGGACACAGCCAGGACAGCTGACCCCAACTGACCCAAGGGATATTCCATAACATATGATGTCATGTTCCACAGATAAAGTCAGGGGAAGAAGAAGGAAGGGGGGACGTTCAGAGTGATGGTATGTCGTCTTCCCAAGTAACCGTTACATGTGATGGAGCCCAGCTTTCCTGGAGATGGCTGAACACCTGCCTGCCCATGGGAAGCGATGAATGAATTCCTTGTTTTGCTTTGCTTTGCTTGCACGCACAGCTTTTGCTTTGCCTATTAAACTGTCTTTATCTCAACCCATGGGTTTTCTCACTTCCACTCTTCCTATTCTCTCCCCCATCCTGACATGGGGGGAGTGAGTGAGCGGCTGGGTGGGGCTTAGTTGCTGGCTGGGGTTAAGCCACAACACACTGTGAAACTGACAACTAAGCAAATAATTTAATTTGGTCCTAGAGGTTGATTTTTTTTTTTCCCAAACAAATGTATCCCAAATTTCCAATCTTGTTCTTGGATCATTACACAGCCCAGCACACAGTAATTACCATTCATACTATGCATGAATGCTGTATTCTAAGTAGAGCTTATCAGCTGGTTTGGCCAGGCAAGCACTCCTTGCAAAATTCCATATCACATGCCCACTTTTTGGCTTTCATGATCCCATGAGATGTTGCTACTGCAACATGAGGTAAATCTTTACTTAATATAGGTGGTGGTTTCTGCTTGTTTCAGGGATAAGCTTTAAGGAAGGTTAAAGACTCTAATTCTCTGTTGCTTGGCACCTTTAATAGCAGTTTGCACTCAGGTCTGTAAGAACTTAATTTCTTGAATGAGGATGGAGGGTGAGCACTTTATCCAGGGATAAAAGATGTTCTCTTATCTAAGTGCTCTTATCCTGGATTTTTCCTTTAATAAGGGAAAGAATTTGGCTATTCCAAATAATTCAGGGAGCACTTAAATATTTTGATAGGCAGACATAAGTGTAAGACTGACTATTCACCCAGGCTAGTAGTAGTTCTCACCACCCAACTCAACACTGAAAGGGTATTCCTTTAAACACTGTATTTTCTGTTCATGCAGCACGTTAATGGCAAAGTTTACTCTTCAAGAATTTGTGGTGTTCATTTATGTATTTATTTGCACATAAATATTGGTCATTTGGGGAATTCATTTATCTATTTATTTATCTGTACACAAAGAACTTCAGTTAGTTTGTAATACCTAGCCATATTGCTCAGGGGAATATTTAAATCTGCTCTAGTTGTGCTCAACTATCGTAACACAAATTGCAAAATGAGACAATTATGTTTCACATTACAATCTCTATTTTCCTAGAGGTAATGACAGAAAATTATAAATTTTAATGACATTAATAATTTAAAGAACCAAAACAGACTTCCAGAAAGCACATCTCTGAGAAAACTGGAGGATTAAACTGAATGGCAATGAGGACAAGGATGCTCATGGAGACAAGCTACAGATTTATGTGGAATTTCTGCATTAGGATCGATACTCTTTGTTGGGTTATTCTAGTTCCCTCCAATACACTGTGTACATCTGTCAAGGGACACTTGCTTACTTGTTGAAAATCCAGAAAACATCCTTCAATTAGCTGTTTTTTAAAACATTCATGACAGTTTACCTTGTAGATAGATTTATTCAACTTTAACATTATGCTGGCTTCTCTGCATCCCGCATGAACACACACACATACACATATGTATATATAAAAAGGTTAGTCCTTTAAGGCAAGGGCACAATCCATTTTTCATAGCACAGAAAACATTCTAATACAAGTCTGCATGACCACCTGTCCAACTCCCATCCTCACTGTCCTCCCACACATCCAACACTACCTCACTTTTCTTCCTTTTACCTGATGCTCCTAAAAATCTCTACAGGGATGTATTTATAATCTAATGGAATTAGTTCTATTTCTACATATAAGGACTCTCTACTGGGTGTCCAGAAGTTTTAAAAGATCCTCTGATTTAACAAAATATTATTCCATAGTGAAAAGTAATTATCTCAGAAAAAAAGAAAAGCACACAAGATGGTAGTTATCAAAAGCTGGACAAAACAAAAAAATCACCATTGATTTTAATCTGGATTTCACTGATAAAATAACCTATCAAAGTTCATCTAACCTTGCTTATAGCTGACTAAGACTGTTTCTGTGTAGTTCAACAGCATTAGAATTAGGTCAATTCTGAACCCTACAAATTTCTGTGAGCAGGATACAGGTACACACGCAGTACTGTTTCATGTATATGTATACCTTTCAGGCATATATAGGAAAACTGTACATTTTTGTGAAAATAAAGAAATAATAAATCTACAGTGTCAAAGATAGCAGCCAAAAGGAGAGAAGCAGGATTTCTTTGGGCAAGTAGTAAATATAGAGTACCTGGAATAAAATAGTTAAGTTTTGAAACATATCATTTGCTAAATCTTAAGAAAATTTCCAGTTTGTTCCTTGTATTGCTACTCAATTTTTTGACTTTTTTTTAGTCTGTTTATTTTTGTATAATTTGAAAAGATCTTAGAATGCTTGCCCTACTTGCATTCGTAAACTATCATTAAAAAGTCTGCTTTTTTCAAGAAAAAATAAGGCATGGGGAAGGGTAAAAGATTTATTAACTTATTGTTATCAGAGTAAACACAAGCATCATTACACAGACTCATGCTTAAGAAAAAAAAAAAAATTTTTTTTTGGCACTTCCATGTGTAGAGAAAGACTGAGCAGAATTCCAGCCTATCAGACAGTCCTGGTTCTACCCGAGTTCTAGAAAAAAAGAAAAAGATTTTCCAAACAAAAGTGAAGAACAAACACTGCATTCATAAGGGATCTTTCTTCCAAAGTCATGTTTCCCCAAGATTACTCTACAAGGTCTGTGCTAGGAAAACACTGCTTATCATGCGTTATCTA